CGACTCATACCGCCCGCGGGAGAGAAGCTGCCCTCAGGTTCAGATGAAGAGGCAAAGCCCAGAGCGGTGGAGTTCACAGCTCAAGGTCAAGCAGCCAGAGGCAGTCAAGCGGGCTTGAACCCAGGCCTCTCTTGGCCCCAAATCTGCCCTCTCTATTCACTGTGTGGCTTCTCAGGGTCGAAGCTTGAGTTGAAAGGGAAGGTGGGTGGGAGACAAACCCCCACGTCTCACAACCAGGTCCCAGCGAGGTGGCAGGTCAGAGTGGCCTGATTAGAAACAGTCCATTAAGTACAGAGCAGTGAGCGTTTGAGAGTGACTTTTTGAAAAGAATCGACTTTTATTTATAGTGACGTTCCAGTCATTAATTTCGAGGGAAGAAAGCCCAAAGCAGAAGCAGGTTCATTAAAAATTTGACATTAGTAATTTAATTAAATTGGGTCTTTGCGTCTCGTTGCGGAAAATGAAACGTTAGTTCTACACGAGTTCTCAACCCATTTCCCCTGGTTGACTCCCTCCCCTCACCTTAGCTAGCTTTCTTCTCCAAATGTTTACCTGGCCTGGCCCTCCCACTCCCAGCACGCATGGACACACACCGCACACATGTACACGCACCCACCGCACGCATTGCCGCTGCTCTTAGCCAGCAGGGGCTCGGGAAATGCCCAGGGAGCCAGCAGCATGGGATTATGGGAAATACCAAGTGAGCCACGAGTAGGGGGTCATGGGAGACACCAGGGGAGCCAGCAGCAGGGGGTCATGGGAAATGCCAAGTGAACCTGCAGCACAGGATTGTGGGAAGTGCCACGTGAGCCAGCAGCATGGGATTATGGGAAATACCACGAGTAGGGGGTCATGGGAGACACCAGACAGCAGCCTCAGAGGGTCTCGGGAGGCACCAGCAGCACAGTATGATGGGCAATGCTAAGCTGGGCCAGTGGACAGGATAGTGGAGGTAAAGTCCTCACCCAGGTCATCTCACTTGCCAGATGTAGAGGAGGAGGAAGAACTCTGCAGTTTTAACTCACAAAATACAAACCTCCCAGGGCAGGGATTACCACTACTCCCTAAGCTCCAGGCATAGGAGGCCACAATAAGGTTTTATTGCGTGACGGGATTAAGACAGGAATAAATGCCCCTTCAAACAACGAATTAGTGAGCACACAGTTAACGCCCCGCACGCGAGACTCTCCGGTCGCACTGCGAGCTGAACCCCCGGCCCTGTGGCCCAGCGCGGTGAGGTCGCCTGCCCTGTTCCGAGCAACGGCTAAGTACTGGGCATGTGCCCGCCAGGCAGCACCCCCCACCCACTAAAAGGCGCGGTCCTCACCCCTTTGTCAGTTGAGGAAGCGTGATTCAGGTCAGCGAATGGCAGTGCCTGTCCTCAGCCTGGAGTCAGGATGGCCCCAGAGCCTGCCATTTCCCCCCACACAGCGCGGAGGAGGAAGAGGGAGAGGGAAAGCCTTCTTTCGGAGGGTTCTGTTGCCATCAGAATCGCAGAGATGCTCCTGAAAGGCAGGTGCCCACAGGACTGTGGGCAGGAAGAGGGTATGGTAAGGGCTGGGCAGGTCCCCCCTTCTCCACCACTGCCAGCCCAGCCCTCACTCTGGGCTCCCAGCGCCGCTAGGTTATCTCCAGCCTCAGAATCTTTGCACGTGCTATTTATTTTGCCCAGAACACTCTTTATGGTCTAGCTAATGTTTTTTTCCCCGCCCAGAACACTCTTTATGGTCTAGCTAATGGTTTTTTCTCCTGTAGGGCATGTGTGGTCACTAGAGAGAGAGAGAGAGAGGGAAAGTGAGAAATTATCCCCCTTCTCCTTTTGGAATTTTGGGCACACACGCACATGTACCCAGCATGTTTTTCAAGCTATAGGCTCCAGACTCACACCGCACAGTCAGCCATATGGGATCCAACCACCGTAACCTCCATGCCACCTGTTGGCCCTGCCTAGATAATTCTGAATAAGCTTTGGGGGTTCAGCACAGATGTCTGGGAAGTCGTCTCTGGCCTCTCCCCTTCACTGCAGACTGGAGTCGGTCTCCTGCCTGCTCCTACCCGTCTTAGAGCGTGGTGAGCCTTTACTCTGCGCTTCTCCACTGGACTGGACAGAGGCTGGACTCCATTGGTACCCTCCATGTTCGCCGCGCCCTGTTCTGCACTTTCCCTGCTGTGCGTCCACTCAGAGATCGCCTTCATAGTCCCTGGGTGGACCTAGTGGAGAGGTGCTTGGACAGTGACCCAGGGTGGCTGAGACTCCTCATCTTTGTCCTGTGGGGGTGTCCTGGAATGTCCCGAGGTGTGACCTTCAGAGTACAGTCAGTTGCAACTCTAGGGAGAAAGGCAGAGGGTGGGGCAGCGGGGTCAGAGAAGCCAGTGACCGACGGTCCAAGGCGCTGTGTCCCCCTTCCCTCCTAACCGGCGGCCAAGACAGTCTCCTCCCCTTGCCAAGGCCACCTCCTTAGGATCAGGCGAGCAGACTGGCAGCTGGTGGTGGCTGATCTGGCTCTAGTTACGCTCGGCCCTCACTTTCTCCGTTCCTAGTTTGTCCTTTGCACGAGCCAGGCTGACGAGAACTTCTCCTCTTCCCACCTCACTGCCAGCTCCGGCGTTCACCAGCCTCTCTAGCTGCCCGGAGCCTGCTGGGTTAACGTCTCCCTCTGGCTGCCAGGCGGACCACACGTGAAAGAGAGGGCCTTGGTGTGCACGAGCACCTGCTCCGTTCCAGCTCTGGGGCCGTTCCATGCTGTCGGTTAGGGGAAACGTGGAGTCCACAATCAGGACAGCCATGCTCGAGAGATTAGCGATGTCCTTGGGAATGCCTCCTTCATGGTCCGTTTGGATGAAACCCTCCTCCAGGGTTTCACTCTAGGAAAGGCCAGAGACCTGCATGTCTGTTAGAAATCTCACCTTGGGAGGTGAGCAGACCAGCGGTGGTCAGCCCCGTGCTGCAGAGAAGAAGCGAGTCCTGGGGGGACTGGCCTGCGGGCTGCTGGGAAGCTGAACATCCGGGCTCGAGCCTTGCTCACAGGCTGCATGGTTCTCTCCC